AATATAGCTCTCGGCGTATATACACCTAGAGCCGTGTGCATGTGTATATACATAGCTGTATGCATTTGTCCATATATAGTACAGAGGGATGCAGACAGTTCTAGATATACACTGCTCTCTATATATATATATACACTTTGTACACAGAAATGTGCAAGACTGTGTGTGGTGTAATATATATATATATATATATATATATATATATATATATATATATATATAAATCTACTGCGTGATTTATACCAGTCTTTGTGTGCGCGCACCTGAGATGTTTATCACTTGCATATCTTGGGCTGTTTGTCAGACGAGTAACTTTACTGCTTAGGGCTGCCCGTCTGGCCAAGTAGTCATGTGGGTGACAACACTTCCTAGGGCTGCCCGTCTGACCTAGCAGTCATGGGATATTCACTCTAGTAACTAGTTTCTTTCTAGGCTGGAGTTCCTCTGCAGGCTGCAGCTGCAGGGAACTCGAGCCATTCTAGCAGGATGCCTCGAGGCTGGTGAAGGATTCTGATCCAAGGAATTGGAGCTAATCTTGGATTAAACGTGATTACCTGTCGCCCGTCCGGGTCTGTATAGTGGCAACGGTACTGGTAGCAGTAGTGTAACATTGCTAAAGTTGGTATGAATTATAGTAGTATCGGAGGTAATAGTGGTGTCAGCAGTAATGTTGGCCGGGTGGTGGTGGTAATAGTAGCAACAACAATGGTGGCAGCAGCAGCAATCTTGGCAGTCGTAGTGGTGGTAGCAGCAGAGCTTACTCTATTCATCCTTCCTTCCCAATTAAACAAGCATGCACACTTCCCAGCACGACTAGGCAGCTTTCTTAACTCAATTTTTCAAGCCTGCATTGTTACAAGAGGGTGGAGATCGAGGAGACAGCCTTCTGCTGTGCTACCCTAGTTTCTTAAGATTATTAACTCCCTAAGAGGGTGAATAACCCATAAAAACCAAGCAGCGTGTTTCAGGTTACCATTAGCAAATCGATCTAAGCAATAGTCTTATCTACTTTTTTAATGTACTTCAGTGTATCAGTTGTATGCCCACGCACTGTCGGGCACACATTATCTCGTCGTATTTCCATATCATGGGAGGTGAGCCTAAGTTTGGCAAGTAAACATATCGTGCCTGGCAGTGGTGTTGTAATCTCGCCACAGCTGCGTTATGGTTAAGTGTGACAGAAGGAAGCCTTAGAGAGGGAGGAGGGAGAGGAAAGAACGAGGGAGGAAAGGTGAAAGGAAAGAGCACAAGTATTGAGAAGGGTAAAAAGGAGGGAGGGGGGGAAAATGGATATAATGCAGCACATTCTTATTTCACTGTCGTAAAGAGTCAGATAGGTGGTTGTGAAAGTACCTTAAACTGAAAATTTGAGTTACGTTTACCACGCTCAGTGGCTGCCAGTTTTCGGTTCGCGCAGTACAACTTTTCATCGCCTTTATCTTATACCACGACGATAAAAAAATATTATATTTGTTTTTATTAGATAACCTATCAACCTAAGCTAACCTATCGTAACCTAAACTAACGAATCCTAAGCTAATGGAACCTTAGGTAACTTAAGGCAACTTAAGCTAATCTAACCTAATAGAGAAAATGGTTACTAACCTTGAGTGAAAAATCCACATAGATTTTTATGCGAGTTAATTAAGGGGATGGGTCGAAGAATTATAGACCTGCTAATAGTTGCTGGAATCCTCGATCCCGTGGCCTCTCAGACCAGGTCATTTATAATGGGAGAAGGATACTGAAGGAATATGAACTATTGCTGATAATTTTGATTATACAAGAATATGAGTAGAAGTTGCGATTTATCTGCTGTCTTACATGTTTGTGAGACAGAAAGGACTCTCCCTCCCCAGGACTGATAGAGAGGATGCAGCAGGTGATACTTTCTGTACTGCATGACCGTTCAGTGGAGGTAGGTACCTTGATGCTGGTGAAGGTCTCATAATGCAGGGAATTTAAACTACCTCCTTCCTTGGATCAAACCGATTGCCTTTCATTTCCCAGGCACTGTATGACCCGTATGGGTTTAGTGCTTCGACGTGATTATAATGCTGAATAACAATACTTCTGGAGCTCCTTCAAGGGATGGAGCCTTGATGGTTTAGGGCCCTCGATCCAAAGAACTAGATGACTCAAGATCGTTAATGAAACACGATACACTCTCTTAGTGTTTAAAGTGTACTTGATTGCTGGTTAACATTGCATGATCCTTTGTGTGGCCATAGGCTTTAAATCCAACTAATTAGCTTAACTAACACAGATTCTTACTGTAATCATTGTCAGTCTCACCCTCAGGGGGTGGGGGGGGCAGGGTTGAAGAACGTCAGTTTAATTGTAGCAGGAGGTACCCAAGAGCTGGAGCTCAGCCAGTTCAAAAATATAAGTAAGGAAAGACAGAGACTACTGGGACTAGTGTTAGAACGACTTGAAAAGATCCATAGCTTATCTCAGCATAGCTAATTGTTATCCACAAAGAACCTTGAGTCTCACAAGCATGACAGACAAGACACTTTGAACACTTAAATTGCATATGCTACATGCTTAGCAGTGGCTGTGAAGCTGGTTATTATCCTGATTATGCACCACTCTCTTGGATTGCCTACCTCCTTGCCCGTCTCAGCTTTCGCAACAAGGTGTTGGAGAATGAAGTTTGGCACTCCTTCGCTTAGCCTGGTTGAACCCCCTCGCCTCAACATGATTATTTTACTTATGAGGAAGCGCTAAACCCGTCAAAATGATACATTATTATTATAAAAAAAAGCGCTAAGCCACAAGGGCTATCAAAATTATACAACACCTGGGGAGTGGGAATTTATCAGATTTGATCAAAGGGGTAGCCAAGATTTCCTTGAAGAGCGCTGCCCCGGCTTCAAGGCATTCCCTTCTTCCCTCCCCCCCTTCAAGGTACTAGCATGCCACTTATCATGCTTTGTATGAAACTATCAACGCTGTATGACCCTTACGAATTTAGTTTGGTTATGTTTATAATGTATACAACTATGTGAATTAGCATGTGTGCATTTTTTCCTTCTGGAAGGAAACCTTTGAAGCTGCTGTAGTTGGTGAACCTCTAATGGATTACTTGACGATAGTCTCACTTTGTTAGATAAAAGGACACGCATGTGTAACTAATGTGACATTTTAGTGTGACAATGTCTCGCTCTTCAGGATCTTTGTAAAGCATTTACCAGAACTCTTTGATAAAGCTTATGAGGAGCGAAACTTTGCCACAAAAAAAGTAACATTAGTTAACCATGTCCTTTTACCAAACACATTGTCAGTAATTCTACCAACATTATTACAACTATAGCCTTATTTTCCTGTTGCAGTCTCATCGATGAAGCTGACATTACTGATGTCTCCCAGCTCAGGCTGACAGATTTCATCACTATTTGTGAGAAATTATGTGGATGAATTTCACAGGTACAATCCTGAATTAACATTACACACGCATAACTGGGGAGAACTCTCATATCTAAAACAGATTACACCTACTAATACTAGTTGTATCTCGGAGCCAAGTGGGGTTTTAGCAGCAGTGGGTCACATCACTGTCCCTCCTCCGATGCCCACCTCAGCGCGTCACATCACTGTCCCTCCTCCGATGCCCACCTCAGCGCGTCACATCACTGTCCCTCCTCCGATGCCCACCTCAGTTCTTGAAATTAATATTGTGGACTGTACATATTACTGAAAAATTACTTTGCTTAACAACTCTTAAGTAACTTGTTGGTCCACGGTTTAAACTGATTATACACACCATTTTCATATTTTCGCAAAACTTGAGTGTGACAAATGCAGACCATAAGAATTACCAAGTTATTATCTTGGTGATATATCCTAACGCCTCCCTAGCAGGCAGGTATGCTAAATATTGGCCAGTATAGTTACCGTACCTATTTGGTGGGTTGACACTATATGAGTAGGCGAAATTAAATAACTGTAGGTACACGCGATGATCATGTCCGGTCACCGCATCCAGTATTATCTTCATTACCAACCTACTTCAAGGGAGGCTCCTTGACGCTGGTGAGGGGCTCTTGATTTAGGGAGCTAGATCTATGCTCCGATTCCCTGAATTCAGTCTGAATACCTTCCACCCCCTCCCCCCCACGTGCGCTGTATAATCCTACGGGTTTAGCGCTCCCCATGATTATAATTCATTACCCGCCTTATTATGGCCAGGTTAGTACGTATCTAAACACTTCCAGATACCTATTATATTCAGTCATTTCATGGTCGTCTCTTATTGCCAATACACTCTGCAACACTTCTATTACCGTCAACGTTCCGCCATTTTCGTTCCTCTTATGTTTGATCTACCAATACATCTTTTTAATCTGATAACACTTCCAGGTGTGCACTACATTTTTCCTCTAAATTGCAACATTTTCACTTTAATTATTCAACTCCTTACAGAATATAAGAACTAATATTTTTTTATTTCTTGTCACAGAACATCTTTTAAAAGTCACTGAAGATACACATTACGCAGTTACAGATAAACATTATTATCCCCCATAAATTCATACACACAAATTACAAGAAAATTATAAAAAATTTCCACAATATTTGTAACCCTTTCTATGTAAGTGTAATAATGTGGCAGCAGATGTATCCTGTTGTGCTCAATATTTCATAAGTTTCAAGATAATTATGTGTCCTTAATGAAATGTGTTAGTGGCCTTATGTTCTGTTGGAAGGTTTCCTTATAGGTGATAAAGCTCCACTGGTGCTGGTGAAGTGCTCTTGATCCAAGGAAATGATGGAAAGGCAGATAAAGATTAGCTAGCATAAATAATGATAATGGTTTTATAATTTGCATGGGTTAAGCTTGGATAAAGAATCTCCGTTATAATTTACCTCTGTTTCTTGCAGGTAAGAATTTAAGTCAGTAGATGAATGGCTGTGTATGTTGTCTATATAACCCTTACGGGTGTAGCGCTTACCCATGAATATAATAAAAGTATAACATGGTGTGTGTGGTGTTGCAGGCAATGGCAGGGAGAGGCGCGTGTGAGTAGCCTGCAGGACGCCATGGACCGACTCTCCTCCTCCCTGGACACGACGCTCGGCAGACTCTCAGACAGGATCGAGCAACAGGTTAGACTCGCTAGTATCTGTCTTGGTTTGTGTGCCCGATTGAAAATGATCTTTAAAACAGTATGTGTACTCGCTAAGATGTGTTTGTTGGGGTCGAGTCTCAGCGCCTGACCCCGCTTCGTAAACCACAATCGCCGGTATTATTGGTTCCTGGGTCCATGGGCCCTGTCATACCTACTCTTGAAACTGTGTATGGACTTTGCCTCTACCATTTCATCTAGTGCATTCCATTTTACCACCCTGCTTCAGAAAAAAATAATTCTAACATCCCTGTAGCTCTTCTGCCTTTAGTTTCCATATATGAATCTCTCTCCCTATGCCTCTCCTTTCAAAAAGTCTGTCACTATCATTTATGACAAGGTCTCTGAGTATCTTGTATGCTGTAATCATTTCTCCCTTAATCCTTTCTTCTAATCAGATTTAGTTCCTTTAGTCTTGTAATTCCCTGGGACTAGTATTGTTGCAAACCTTTCGACCTTTTCTATTTTTTTTTGTATATGTTTATCAGGTGAGGGCTCCATGCTGGTGCTGCATACTCTGATAGTCCTAACATACAGTATGTCGTGTCGAGTCCTAAATTCAATTCAGTTCAAGTTTATTCTCTATAAGGGTTACAACGTGGGGTTTACAGGTTTTGGGTATTGTGTGGTTTACATGTTATAAAATACTAATTACAGAGGGGGCCACTAGGACACCTAGCATGGCTAGGCATTTCGGGCAGACTTAGATTAATTCTTAACATTAAATCCTTACAGATTATGGTATTAAGGCTAAGTGACTACATCATAATTTGTGAGTTTAGCAATGTGAATGCTTTTGTTTTGGCACAATACAAAGTGTCTATAATGGAGTATCATAGGCAAACTTATGACTAGTTAGGATTTATTATTTTAAGATTAAGATTAGTATTTCTGGGTTTATAGCCAGTGGGCGAGTGAGTGTAATTGTGAACCACCAGGTGGTTATCATGTAGTTAGTTGTCGGGGTGTATCAGGGAGATGTTTTCTAACTGTAGTTTTGAAAGTGATGAATGTGTCTGCATTTCTAGAGTTTTCAGGTAGGGTGTTCCAGATTTTAGGTCCTTTGAAATAAATTGAAATTTTGTAAAGGTTTAGTCGAACATGGGGAATGTCATAGACATGTTTGTGTCTGGTGTTATGCCTGTGGATCCTGCCACAACTATCAAGAAAGCGTTTTAGGTCAAGGTTAATATTGGAATTTAAGGTCCTGTAGATACAGATTGCACAGTAGTAAGTGTGGATGTTCTGAACAGGGAGTAAGTTTAGATCTATGAAGAGTGGGGGGGGGGTGTTGCCAGGGATGGGATTTAGTGATTATTCTTACTGCGGCTTTTTGTTGGGTTATTATTGGCTTTAGGTGTGTTGCTGCAGTTGAACCCCAAGCACAGATAGCATAGGTGAGGTATGGATATACAAGTGAATGGTATAGTGTGAGAAGGGCAGTTTGCGGCACGTAGTATCGTATCTTGGAGAGGATCCCCACCGTTTTGGATACTTTTTTTGTTGTTTGATATGGGTGCTGAAACTTATGTTGTCGAGGTATAGGCCAAGGAATTTGCCCTCATTATATCTGGCAATTAGTGTTGTCGATCTTAATGTGAAGTTGCGCAACACCTGCTCTGCTACCAAACATAATATAGTAGGTTTTGCCAGTGTTAAGTGTTAAGTTTATTGGCTGTCATCCAAGTCGATATTTTGAGCAGCTCCTCGTTAACAATGGTGTTGAGGGTGGCAAGATTAGGGTGGGAGATGACATAAGTCGTGTCGTCAGCAAAGAGAATGGGTTTCAGGTGTTGGGATATGTTTGGAAGATCATTGATGTAAATAAGGAAGAGCAGGGGACCAAGGACACTTTCCTGCGGAACTCCAGTATCAAGTGGCCGTATTGATGAGGTTGTGTCTTTAATGGTGACATATTGATACCTATTAGAAAGGTAGGATTTAAAATATGCAAGCGTATGGCCTCTTATACCATAGTGGTCAAGTTTGTGGAGTAGGATGCCGTGGTCTACTGTGTCAAACGCTTTTTTTAGGTCAATAAAAATTCCTAGCGGATATTCCTTATTTTCCAATGCTGTGTAAAGCAGGTCTAGCATTTTTATAATTGCATCATTAGTGCTTTTTTTCCTGAATCCAAATTGGCAGGGGTTGAGTATGTTTTGTGATGTTATAAATGATTATAGTCTCCTGTGCACGAGTTTCTCGAAGATTTTGGATAGCAATGGTAAGTTTGATATTGGCCTATAGTTGTTTACGTCTGTAGGGTCACCACCTTTATGTATTGGTGTAACTCCACTGAGGTTTCTGAAGACAATTTTGAGATTAGTTTTCCTCGTATATGCTACAGATGCTTTTCAAATTATGCGCACCTCTAGAAATATATTCACTGTGATGGCCACTCCACGATTTTTTTCCCCTTGAGCGGTATCTGATTTTTCTTGCCTCAAGCTGTATTGTCTCTGGCCACCTCAATGTATTGTCTCTGGCCACCTCAATGTATTGTCTCTGGCCACCTCAATGTATTGTCTCTGGCCACCTCAATGTATTGTCTCTGGCCACCTCACTGTATTGTCTCTGGCCACCTCACTGTATCTCCATTTTTCATTACCCTGCACTTGTTATAATTAAACTGCAATAAGCACTTGTTTGACCATTGTTGCACTTGTCTCTGGTCTACCTGTTGTCTATATTTACACTCTTCAGTCTGTATTTTTCTCATTAATTTTGCATCCTGAGCAAAAATAATCATAGTTAATTTTCCTCTGGAGAACGTCACTAGTTACTTTCCCATCACTGAAACATCTGCTCTTACCGTCACTGAAACATCTGCTCTTACCATCACTGAAACATCTGCTCTTACCATCACTGAAACATCTGCTCTTACCATCACTGAAACATCTGCTCTTACCATCACTGAAACATCTGCTCTTACCATCATTGAAACATCAGCTCTTACCATCACTGAAACATCTGCTCTTACCATCACTGAAACATCTGCTCTTACCATCACTGAAACATCTGCTCTTACCATCACTGAAACATCTGCTCTTACCATCACTGAAACATCTGCTCTTACCATCACTGAAACATCTGCTCTTGCCATCACTGAAACATCTGCTCTTACCATCACTGAAACATCTGCTCTTACCATCACTGAAACATCTGCTCTTACCATCACTGAAACATCTGCTCTTACCATCACTGAAACATCTGCTCTTACCATCACTGAAACATCTGCTCTTACCATCACTGAAACATCTGTTCTTACCATCACTGAAACATCTGCTCTTACATCACTGAAACATCTGCTCTTACCATCACTGAAACATCTGCTCTTACCATCACTGAAACATCTGCTCTTACCATCACTGAAACATATGTTCTTACCATCACTGAAACATCTGTTCTTACCATCACTGAAACATCTGTTCTTACCATCACTGAAACATCTGCTCTTACCATCACTGAAACATCTGCTCTTACCATCACTGAAACATCTGTTCTTACCATCACTGAAACATCTGCTCTTACCATCACTGAAACATCTGCTCTTACCATCACTGAAACATCTGCTCTTACCATCACTGAAACATCTGCTCTTACCATCACTGAAACATCTGCTCTTACCGTCACTGAAACATCTTCTCTTACCATCACTCTGTCTTCTGTTTGTCAGGTATTCCTTGATCCACTTTAGGATTTTACCTCGTATTTCTGTATTCTTTAATTTGTGAATAAATTTCAGGTGAGGTACAATGTTATATGCTTTCCTACAGTCCACGAATATGCAGCCAACCCATCCTTTGTCTTTCTTGCTTAATTTCTGTTATTCTGTCGTAGAAATCGAGTAAGTTAGTGAGGAAAGACTTAGTGTCCTTATATCCATGCTGGCTTTCTGTAAAAGGTTTCATCCCTTTAGATGTTCAACCATTTTTTCCTGATGTATACTGTTCAAAGAACTGTAAAGGATATTGTCAATTGTACTGGTTCATAACTCAGTGCCTCTTGTCTTCCGTGCTTGTATATTGGGATTACGTTTGCAGTTTTCTGTTTGTCTAGTATGTTTCCCGTCTCCAGGGTATGTAGATTTTTGCTATAGGTTCACACAGTTCTTCCATTCTTTCTTTCAGTATCCATGGTGATACGTCTTCAGGGCCCATTGCTTTTGATGTGTCTAACACTTTTAGTAAATTCATTACTTCTTCTTTGGATAACATAAATTCTATTCATTATATACATTCTGATACAATTCTTGTTTCCTCAGCGAATACTACCTTAAACATTCTGCTTAACTACTTGCAAACTTTTCTATCACCTCAGTTCCTGTCCCTCCCTCTTCAGCTTCATTGATCTTTCACAGTCATATTACCGTATGGTAGTTTAGGTTCTGATTAGGCCTTTGCTGCTATGTTATTCTCAAACTGACGTAAAGCTTCTCTTATCCTTGTATATTCATTCCTCACTGTTTTGCTGCGTCCCTGTTCTTTGCTGCCATCTGTGTTCTGTACTTTATCTCTTGTACCTTCCTTTGTCCTCTTCGCAGATCTTATTAAGGAGTAACCTTCGAATTTTATTTCTTTATATTATTTTGTTAAAAAAAATATTATAGACTGAAAGTATATGAGGAAAAAATCCACGAAGATCGTCCAATGTATAAAGAAGTAAAAAAATAAATTCAGAATTTGGACATGGCAACAATTATATCTCCCAGTTGAAATATTTGCAATGTCAGTAATTTTGGATGCTAACAAATGATGAAGCAATGCCATTTTTTTTTTTCGAGTATCTAAAATTGTATACGTCTTTTGTAGTCCCCACAAAAATCTTTAGTTATGTCTCTATTTTTTTTTTTTTTGCTCTTGACACTAATAGTATGCAAACATGGAGGACATTATTGCCAATATTTTAACATCGGTTTGTAGAACAATGACCTTAAAATATCTGTTGTAAAAATTCATAAATAATGAAGTTACAACAAAT